GAGATTTTACTTGCACTTTGATGTTCAATTATTTACGAAAATGCCACCGCGTTTTTTTTTAAGTTATTAGATCTGGACACGTGTCACGCGCTGATTCGTTCGCATTTCCTTCCTGAACACTTATTCGCACCTGAGTGCGTCCCTATATATATATATATATATATATATATATATATATATATATATATATATATATATATATATACACTTTTATTCAAATGCGGCCGCGCCCTCCCATGCGGTTGTGCGGCCGCTTGACAAAATACACCAACAGTGTTAACAAAAGGCACTAATAGTGTTAAGGAAAAAGCACAACAATGAAATGTACAAATACACCAAAAAATACACAACACACAAAAATAAAATGCACCATAACTCCCCACACTCTAATTTTGTATTTCCGAACACTGTGTGGTGCTTTTATTCATACCTAATGGTGCGTTTTTTGGTGATGCCATGCGTACCTAATTTGTGCATGTTTTTTGTTGTGCATTTTCTAACATTGATGGTGTATATTTATATGACTATTGGTGCGGCCGCAGCTGAACTCGACTATATATATATATATATATATATATATATATATATATATATATATAAATATATATAATATGGCCCTATTTGATAAAATAGTTAACCTATCAGACAATTTTGACTTATTTGATCACTATTAGTTGTTTGACTTGGTTAAATAATCAATATGAGTATTTGATTAATTAGCTTTTTGTAACAAATTATTGCTTCAAAATGCTAAAATTCAAAAAGCTACTCAAAGTAACTTTTTCGATAAACTTTTTGTAATCAGCTAATTAATACCTAACAACTAATTTACCACACATTTTTTACAATCAGCTAATGCTATGAATTAGTCAAACCTACTAATCCAATCTCCTAAAAGTCATTTACCAAACACCCCAGAGGTAAAGGAAGCTATATATCTATATGTATTATGGTTGAACGAAGGAAGAGTGTACCTCGGAGTTGAAACGCTGCATGGCCGCCATTGTATCCGCAGCCCTTAGGAGAAGATACATCTTCTTCACATTTGGCTGAACTCTAGCCGTTTGGTTCACGGAATGTCAGATTACCTTAGGAAATGTTAGATTGCTGGGAATATTAGATTACTGGGAATGTTAGATACCTGTGTTTGGTTAAAATTGGGCTATGTAATATAATCATGTTTGGTTTAGGGTTATCTTTTACACACACTATAATATCCTTAAGATAACCAAGGTTATCTTACATTACCTAAGATTTTGAAGGGAATCACATTCCCTTCAAAATCCTATGTGGAGGGAATATGACATTTCTTGGGAATGTCAGATTCCCTAAGATAATATGAACCAAACACCGGAATGTGAGCTTTGAAATGTCACATTCCCTTGGTTATGTTATATAACCTGAACCAAACGCCTAAGTATTTTCTCCACAAAAACTGCATCCATAATTGTTAAAAACAATGAATATATATATATATATATATATATATATATATATATATATATATATAGGTTTAAATAATGTGGCACCCTATCCAGTGCGACTGTGCAAATTGCACCATTAGATATACAAAAATGCATCACAAAGTGTCACCAGGGTGAAATGTACAAATGCACCACAACTCTGCGACGTGTAATCATATACCTTTAGGTATACATAAATGCAGTATAATGTGTTCAGGAATGCACCAGGGTCAAATGTACAAATGCACTATAAAAATGCATCATATCCCGGTGTATTACTGAACTATTCTTTAATACCAAATGGTGAATGACTGCACAATCTATATCTTCGAGGGAACAAGACCTTATATATATGTGTGTGTGTGTGTGGAGGGGGATAGTTTTGAATACTTTTAGCGAGGAAGCCAGTGGCACCGGTGACAAGAATTGCTCTGTTATCCAAAAACCCAAGAGCACTGCCCAACTCCATTATTGTTGAATTCCTAATTGAAGAGAGAATTGAATAACTAAGTGATGTGAAATGAATTGAAGCGGAGAGAAAGTGGGAAAGGATCGAAAGAATAAATATAGCAATTTATAGTGTGTTCTGGTGCAAAAGGATGTCGTTTTGTTTTTTTTTTTTTTTTTTTTTTTTTTTTTTTGAAATTTCGCTTTCCATGTGTGTTGGTGTTAACTTCTGAAAAAAATCTCATGTTTTGAAAATGTACATAATTGTATAATAGAATGTACATAATTATATAAAAGAATGTACATAATTTTATAACAAAATACACATAATCTTTTTTGAAAAGATAATACACATAATCTAACATAATACATAATACACATAAATTTTATGTTTCGAATGTACATAATTGTATAAAAAAATGTATATAATTATATTAAAAAATGTACATAATTATATAACATAATGTACATAATGATATAACATAATGTACATAATTATATAATTAACAGAATACAAAGAAAAAAAAAAAAAAAAAAACAGAATACACACACTTTGTCGCGTAACTTTCCACACAACTTAACAAAACAACGTTATTTTGAGAGGCGCGGAGAGCACATTACTATGTGCACCGTGGTGCACGGTATAACGACTGAATAAATATAATAGCGGAAAGGTTACGTGGCCCGAAAGGCAGGCCGGCTATCCTAGGAGCAACAAAATATTATCCCTTTCTTTTTTACTCTACCCATGCTATTAGGAGCTGCACAATAGATATGCACGTTTGTTTAGCCATTTTTAAATTTGAATCGGAGTAATAAATTTAGAGCTATCTGAACACTAATAAATATTAGGGAAAATTGTAAAAAATGCCCCTCTATAATATATCAATTATCAATGTCACCCCTGAATTATGAGTGGTGTAAATGTTGCCCCTCAATTATTAAAATGGTGTACATATAGCCCCTCCCGTAACGGACTTGTGGTTCCCCGTCGCTGTCCATCGCTGGTACTTCGAATCGAGGGAGAGAAAAAACAACTAAATTACATATTTACTCCGATTAAATGGTGTTCTACACTAACAGGGAACCACATTTTCGTTACGAGAGGGGCTATATGTGCACCGTTTTGATAATTGAGGGGCAACATTTACACCACTCATAATTCAGGGGTGACATTGATAATTGACATATTATAGAGGGGCATTTTTTACAATTTTCCCTAAATATTACTTGTACTTGTTCCAAACGTGTTTGATATTACCTATATAATACTCAAAATTATTCTGAAACCTATTTAATGCATCACTGCGTGGGACGATCTCCCCGAAGTGTGACCCATTATATAATAATATGCCACAAAACTGATGACATTGTAAGGCAGTCAACCAACCATTTATAAGATTTGGTTTGATATTTTATTAGGTGTGTATCACACTGTATATTAATCTAGTTATATATTCCGAGTTAAACACAGATTACGTGATGTATTGGAACCCCAAATTAAATATAATTGAAAAATTAAGGTGTGATTCTCCTCCATCAGCAATCTTAAATTGAACATACACAGTTACGTTGTATCCATGTGTTTTGACGATTCGCATTAATCTCAGTTTATATACACAAGGATCACGTTAATACTATTTAATTGCTTTAAATTTTTTCAATATATAATGTGATAATTGAATTTGATACCACTCCATATTATTTTCATAAGAAATTGTGAAGTACATAACCATTTTAGTTGGCGTGAGTGGTCCTACACTCTCATCCCTTACAAAATATTTATAGTTCAAAACTCTATCTTTTGATATGAAAAAATCAAAGGAAAATGACACTTTTTTCCCTCTGAATTATAGGCTTATGGCACTTTTTCTCCTGAATTATTCATGTATTCACATTTGCTCCTTCAATTATTTTAAAAATAAGGATTAATAAACAAGTTTTCTAAATAAATTTAAAAAAAAAAAGAATTTAGAAAACAGTTCCCATTTGTAAACGAAAATCTTTTCGGGGCAGGTTGGGTAAAAAGCTAGTCAAAAGTTGAAAATGAGTTGATAGTAATTAACGGGAAGAAAATTTAGAACAATTGGACTAGCTAGCTCAATAAATCATATATCATATATGAAAAAGTCATGATTATAATAATGATATTTTGAAAATATAATTTATCTACATTTGGAGGCGACAAGGATATCAACAAATTAAAGATCATCCTTTAAAAAAAAAAAAATTATTTGCCTCATGATTCAGAACCCTAGATGATGTAGTTGTATTTTATAAGCAGTATAAGTACCCTAATTGAATGTACTATATCTAATCAATCATCATGTAACCCATCAATCCATGTTTATATATTAGGCACAAAGTTTAGTTGACTAACAACTTGTAGTTATTCAATCCAACCAAACCAGCCTAGTCAACTTGCGCCACTCAAGAAAAATTCTTTGCCCCAAAGGTCGTTACACCATGGAGTGACAATGATCTCACATAATATTCACATTTCTGAGTAAGTGACGAGGATACATGTACAAGGTTGGACGTACTCTTAGAGGCCATTAATGGTGGCCTTTAATTTCTTGAGAAATAAAATGAAGGCAGAATGGAAAGAAGGGAGCAACATGTTACTGTGAAATTTGCTAGCTAGAGAGAGAACAAGAGAGCAGCCAAAGTATATTGTAGCGCAAAATAGTGCATAATCCTATTTAACACATGATTTGATTTGGTAAATAGTTATTAACTGATATTTATTAACTAATACTCCGTAACTTTTAGCTTATTGGGTTAATGGGTTTTACTAGTTGATAGCATGCATTAGCTGATTGTAAAAAAATATTCGGTAAATGAGGTATTAGTTGAGAGCTGATTACATGTAAAATGACTTTCTCAAAAAATTGATTGAAAAAGCTACTATGAGTAACTTTTTGAATTTTAGCACTTTGGATCAATAAGTTGTTACAAAAAGCTAATTAATCAAACACTTATATTGATTGTTTAATCAAGTTAAATAGCTAACAGATCAAATAAGTCAAAATTGAATGATAAGTAAGCTAACTAAGTTATCAAACATGGCCAAATTAAAGTATTTTATTTTACTGTCATGAGGTATTGTTAAAAGGTAAAAAATGATTGAGAAAAATAACATTATTCAATATAAAAATGCCACTCTTATCGACAGAACAAAAGTGATATTAATTTTGATAATCACTAGAAGACGTGTTTCACTAATCCAGGAAAGTGAGCTTTCATGAAATAATCTTCCCAGCTAATTGCTTTAGGATCAAAATAGAATAATTCAGTTTCAATGCCTCCTTCTTTTGCAGCTCTCCTCAATTTTTCTGTATTCATATCATCATATCTGTCCACAAAATTCACACCACTTTTGATTTTCTTGCATGTGCAAAATAATTAAAAACTTGATTAATTAAATACTTAATTACTCACATTCCTTTGAAGAATAAGTAGGGTCGATATAAATCCACCAGCTTCATCACAAATTTGATTTTCCTATTCATCTCATCACACGTTCTCTGGAAATACTTACAACATATAGTGTTCAATATCTCCAACCCCTGCATATATAGTACATCCATGCATGCAAATCAAATTGGCCATGCATTAACCTCAATATCCTATATAAAATAACTTTAAAAAATAAAAACTAACAACTAACCAAACCTTCAAAGGGAGCAGATAACGAATAGCCATGTATCTGTGGAAGCTATCCATGGTGCTTAACACAGTCACCTTTCCAACAACAACAGCTTTTCCATTCTTTCCTATCCATGGATGCTTGGTGAAGTAATGGAGAGCATAATCTTGTAGCCAACTAAACTCCACTGGGTTGGATACCGAGGATCCAACGTGGTATATGGTCTGAGTGCCACGTTGATCTGCATGTGCCACCATGGAAACTATCATGGCATTCACCACCATATCAGCTGGGATCTGTAATTTATAATATTCAATACTCAAACCCATCATGTATGTTTTTCAATAAGTTTGATTAGTGCTCGGTGTTATCGACCATTTGTTGACCACTACTGGAAATTATGGAATTTCCGACCACCTGAAAGTGATCTTAAATCAAATTGATACCAAAAAGTGGTCGGAAATAGCAACAAAGGTTTTTCCGGACACCAAAAGTGGTCGGAACAAGGCTTTCGACTTGATTTAAGATCATTTTCAGGTGGTCGGGAATTGCATAATTTCCAGTAGTGGACAAATTGTTAGTTAATAGCGATGAATATCTGATCTCCAAAAGATTGGAACATCTCGTTTTTTTATCAGAGATCAGATAGTGATTGTGGGTTTTTCTCGCCATAAAAAAATGTAATAGATATAAATAACATTTTTAGATCACTCACCAAATCTGTAATGGTCTTTGGATCACCTAAGAAGCATGTTAGTCTTCCTTTAGCATAACCAAGTGCTAAGCTATCAATGGTTCTGCATAGCATATGTTATATTATTCATCATTAATTAGAAATATGATATCATCATAATAAGAAAAAAAATATTAATTTGAATATAATGGAGTGGATGATTGAGTGAGTACCTGACACCTTCGACCCAACCAAGAAAGGGTTCTTTGTAAGTGCTAGTTACGATGGTAGGGCGTAGAATAAGAAGAGGTATGTCATCTCTCAACTTACCCAAAAGCATCTCTCCCATTGCCTTTGTGAATACATAAGTGTTTGGCCACCCATATGTCCTTGCTCTTTGGTATTCATTAGAGAAATTAATATAATTAGTGAAATAATAATAATAATTATTATTAAAACCATTATAGTACATATAACTATATATAATATATCTTATCTATTTGAAAATAATTTTTTTTTAAAAACGATCATAATATTCATGAAAAGACATTTTGTTTGATAGTGGATTGAAATTGAAATTAAAATAAATAAATAAAGGAGAAAGGTTCAAATTAGTCGTCAACTACATATAAAAATGTAATTGGGACATCAAACTCAATTTTTTTAAAGGTGCAATTAAATTCATGAACTACCCAAAATTATGGAATTCGATCAAGTTTGACTTGTTTCTCATGTCATGACGTGACGGTCATCCTATTAAAGATCATTTTAATAATAAAAAAAAAACACACCTCCCTCCCTCCCTGCCTTTGTCTCCCACCGGAGATGAAAAATATTATTTGTCTCCATGTCAGAAACAAGATCTTCTTTGTCTTTAGGCCAGAAACGAATAAGTTTCTTCGGAGACAAAGCCGGTGAGAGGTGGGATTTTTTTTTTTTTATATATAAAATTTATATTATTTAAAATTATTAAAATATTTTTTAAAAATAATTTTTAATATGATGACCACCACATCAACAATGACATGTGTAACATGTTAGATTTGGTCGAATTGTATAATTTTGGACAATTCAAGGACCTAATTGCACTTTTTTGAGTTTGATGGTCTAATTACACTTTTATGCATAAATTGTATGGTTCAGTGACTAATTTAAACATTTTTCTATAATAAATAATGTTGGGTGAAGGCTTGAAGGATGAAGTCTAACATGACGCTGACTAGTTACTACGCAAGTATAAGATCATAAACCCAATAGTAAAACTCATAAACCCAATAGTAAAACAGTAATTTAACTTTAATCCAATAGTTGGTTAATTAATTACGTTCAAAATCCATAAACTAACCAAAGGTCCCATAGTAAACTACCTTTGGATTCCCAGTTCTTTCATGGCTAAGCTTATGGATTCATCAGAAGCATTCTCAACTATGAGGTTTTTCAAAGTCTCTTCTATTATCTCATTCTCCCTATCAATGTCCAGCCCACATCTTCCATTCAGTGTTTCACCCATTTGGAATGGTGTCTCCTGTAACAGCCCATCCCTTTCACCAGACACGTAAGCTGAATATTATAAAATAAAATATTTTATTATGTTAGCCAACAAATTTCGGTCTGTGGAAGAGACACACGGTATAGGCAAATTATATTATGCACCGCAGTGCATAATCGATTATGCACCGCGCGTATTTTTTTTAAATGAAAATAAACAGTGTTTGTTTCCGACGTTTCGCACCCTTTTGCAAAAAGTAACTCTGTTATTCAGTGTCATTTTGTATACACTGCAGTTTCAGTTCAACACAACTACAGTTTCATTTCGATATAACTATAGTTTCATTCGATATTTATAGACTCAAATATGTGAAAATGTTATTTAATTTTATTTTATATACACTATAGTTTCATTAAAACACAACTACATGATCATTTTGATATAATTACAGCTTCATTGTACAATATACACTCAAATATGTGAAATGTTATTCAGTTTCATTTTATATACACTGCAGTTTCATTTCACTATAACTACAGTATCATTTTGATATAACTGCAGTGTCGGTTTAGATATACTATAGTGTCAGTTGGTGTTTATACACCAAACAAGCGAACTCCGTTAACTCTAACGGCGGGCCGTTTTTGACCGCGGTGCACATGCACCGCGGTCTATAATATAACGACTGCACGGTATATTATCATTCACACTTAATAGATAGACCATCATTATGTAATGGATCATGATTCAATTACAAAGTGGACTGCTAACATAAAGTTCATTTTTAATATATTGAATATTCATTTTTTGAAAGTTCATTACTTGATATACTATCTAAGAATAAACATTCAGTACGTGCATTAATAATAAATTAATCTACAGTATATATATTAAAAACGAACATTTTTAGGTGTTTGGTTAGGTGTAATTGAAATGCAATTACAACACAATTCTTTAAGCCTCAAATTACAGTTTTTGGTTGGAGGAATTGCAATTGCACAAAATTGCAATTCCCTCCATTTGTTGAATTGGAATTCATGCTTCCCCTATGAATTCCAATTCAACATAGCATGGAAAGGAAAAAGATATGGAAATAACATTTTTGCCCTTAGTTATTATTATTATTATTATTATTATTATTATTATTATTATTATGCAAGGGAATTTTAGTCTCTGGCCTTGTTTGGTAAAATAGTTAGCATATAGGGCAAATTATTGTGTGGACCATGGTCCACACAATGTTATGTGGACCATAACAAAAAGTACATTTTTAATATACTAAATGTACATTATTTTTGTACTGAATGTATATTATACAATATAATGTACACTCAAAACAAAAATAATGTACATCCCCTGAATACAATGTACATTATTTTTGTACTGAATGTACATTATTTTACAGTAAACAAAATATGGTCCACACAACTTGTGTGGACCATGGTCCACATAATAATGATTGAGCATATAGGCCAGTTTTGGCTTATTTGACAACTATTAACCTTTTGATTTAGTTGGAAAATCAATATACGTGTTTGGTTAATTAACTTTTTGTACTCCAAAATGCTAAAATTCAAAAAGCTACTCAAAGCAACATTTTCAATTAGCTTTTTGAGAAAAGAAACTATACTAAACAACTATCAGCTAACAGCTAATTTACCAAACACCTTTTCTACAATCAGCTAATGTTATCAACTAGTTATACCCTCTAATTAACTCAATCAGCTAACCGCTATCAAGCTAATTAACAGTCATTTACCAAACAGGGCCTTTATGTCACTTCTTCCCGGCCTTCACATTCCTAATAATTCAATTCCTCCATACCAAACAATGTAACTCAAATTACTACCTTATTCTCACCTTATTCTTTTCCCACCGAATTACAATTCTTTTCCCTCCTAATTCAATCCTCCTAACCAAATGTCATGTATTATGGAGTGTTTGGTAGGATAGAATTGTAATTCCATTCCTACCAAATCCCATAGAATTGCAATTTCATGATTTGGTTGGGGGGAATTGTAATTCCCTCCCACCATGAAATTGTAACTTTATGGTGAATTACTATTTTATCATTCTTCTTATTACTATTATTATATTATTATACATAAACATTTTAATTTTTATTCACTTTTTCTTTTTCAATTCCCAATCATTCTATTCCTACCTACCAAACAACTTATTATTTAAATTCTCACTTAAATTTTTTTTTTTACGAAATTATAATTCTTTTTTTGCCTAATTCTCTCATTCCAAGTAAACGCCTTGTCGATATACAATGACAACAATGTGGTCCATATTCTAATTTCCCATA